GAGGTTGTGGAGAGGAAGGCGTGAGTAGAGAATGTTGTAGGAGCAGAACCAACAAGGCTGTGACCAAAAGACAGCCCTGGGCCCGGGAGAGCACTGTGCAGAGGCGTGGAGCTCAGCGTGGCTGTGAAGAACCGCCCTGCCGTGGCAGGCTTGCTCTTGCTCTCCCTGTCTAGCTGTGAAAGCAGTAGTACAGGGAACTGGTCAAGGCAGCAGTGCTGAGTGACAACAGCAGTCACTGAATTTTTGACAGGCAGCTGCCTACATAAGTAAAAACAAATAAAAACTTTACTTCATAAAAATATTAATTTTATTCTACCTGGACCACAATGTGGCTCTTAAATATTGCATTTTCCAGAATAGCAAGAACTCAGAGCACAGGACTGCAGTCATCTCAGGAAGGAGCAAGGTGTGCCGTGGGGGTCCAGCCCAATAGCTGCTTCTTCAAAAGAGAAACAGACAGAACTTCCACTGATTGAAAAAGTCACTGACTGACAGCAAACTATGCCACTCATCCTTGAGACTTGTGTGGGATATTTTCTCAAACTAAACCAAGCAGAGGATGAAAAAGGAGGGAGGAGGGGAGGGCGTGRGGAAGTTCTGGGGAGTGTAATTTCCAAATTATGCCGTGTCCATGTGCAATACTGGATACCATTGTGAAGGATTCCACTCATGTGTGCAGTTATAATGCACTAATTAAAATAACCATAGAGGGGGCATCATAGAGTGAACCCAGGGATGGGGGGTGAGGATGGGAGGGAGAGGGAAAGTGCTGGGAGGAGRCTGAGCAAATTGTAAAGTGCATGTGACGATGGCTTCATGGGGACCGCTGTCCTGTGTAATTGAAAGCATCCATGAAAAGAGAACTGAGCAAGCCCCTGTCAAGAAAACAATTCACATGTTCATTGAAAAATATAAAAATCCAGTTTTCAGGTGAAAATTATAATTCGAGAAACTTGCATCTATATTCTCAAGTTTGACAACTTTTCAAAACTTAGATTTTATTTTTTTATGAGATGTATTAAATTGAAGAGATGACAGCATCACACTGTTGATCGACAACTGAAACCCACATGATTCTGGAAACTAGAGAAGTAGCATCTGCCTGGAGAGACCATGAGCATGCTCAGTGTGAGTGAGTCCCACAGGCGAGCAAGCACTTGGGACGCCTCTGTCAGGGTGCCTGAGGCTGAAGGTAGAGGATCCTGAACCCCTGGTGCCTGCCATGTTTCCCCCACCTGTCTATCCGTTTATGCTGTTGATTTTTGATATGAGACCACAAAAAAATGCAAAATCCATAATACTTACTCTAATAAACTCTGATATCATTGAATAAAAATATTTGGAAAAGACCCCTGGGCAAGATTAGAAATGGTTTTATGATATTGTTTGCCACTGCAAGATATTTTATATAATATATAACTTTATATAAAGTCTATCACTTTTGTGTTCCAAAGCAACATGAAATMTTCATTGTTTTGAGACTCTACTTTGTTCAGGTAAAATTATCATTTGACAATATTGTCTGACTTTTAAATATTACTTCGATATACTATGTTGGAGTAAAATTTGACATTAATATTACTTGAATCAATTACTTAATCATTTAGACAYTCAAAAGTTAGACTTTGTCTTTCTCTCCAGTGTATTAATCTTCAGAAACTTTAGAATTTCACATGATAATCTTAGAAGAGATTGTTACAAGAGAGAAACAAATATAAATAAGGTGCAGATTAAAACTAATTTTTGAGGTATGTGACAGAACTCTAACTCCAATGTGACACAGCAAGAGGGCTGCTCCAGGTGCCTGAACAGCAACCCTGAATGAGGTCACAAATCCAGGTCACTAAAGGTTTTGGAAAAATAGGTGACAAGTAACAACAAGCTCCTAAAACGGTAGCACATAATTTTTCTTTGAATATAATGTATTATATGATATGAGTGAAATTTGGGGTCATGAATTGTTCATTTTAACTACTTCAATACTATCACATCCTGATTGATATCAGAGGTACCAGCTTCCAAAATGAAGATCAAAAGTTTTCAAATACGTGAAATACATCTGTACATTTCCCATTACTTAGAACACTACTTAATAATTGTGAGTATAGCGGAGCATTGGAAATTCTGAGTGGAAATGTGTATTTTCTCTTCAGCAGTAACCCTCATGTGCAGTTAAAGTTTGCATGATACAATGAAAGCATTGATCACTGCTCAAGCAAGTCAAAACTGCTACCCTTGTCAAAGAGAATTCTCACATTAGGTCCACTGCAGAGACCCAACTACTCAAGAAATCAAGCAGGTGGAGTCAGCACTGGCTACAGGTCTCTCTTAAGTTGACCAAGGATGGGGCTGTTACTTCCTCCAATCACCAGCTTTCTTATCTGTACCTAATATCCATGCTAATATCAACTCTTCAGGGTTTGGGGAAAATTGTGAGAAAAATATATATTGGGTCTAATGTAAAGAGAAAGCTCAAAATCCTGAATATTCTAACTACCAGCAGGGGTCATTTCTAGGGGTAGTGATGTGTCTATTCTAAACACAGTAGAAAAAAAAAATTACTAYACGTATCAGCTCTTCCACTTGGGGCCAAAATCATGTTCTGAAGTTCCTCCAGATCGGGTCATGCAGAGACCTGGCACACACTGGTGCTAACAGATGATCTTATATTCATGGTTATAATAATCATCCATACCCAAATGACAAACCTTGTCTCTAAGTGTTCTGCGAAAGCAATGATGCCAGCCGTTTTGACCAGAATCCTGAAACGAAAGTTGAATTCACATCATGGAATCAACAGGCTTAAAAAATATTTCTTTTCATTTTACGTTTTCACACGGGGTTAATGCATAATGGAATCAAGTACAGCAGGAGCTCCAGTGCAGGCCTCTGAAATTCCTAGCCAGTGTAATGTTGGTGTATGTGCATGCATGTGCTAGTGTGTGTGATTTATTACTTTATATGTGAAGGTTTGCAATGACAAGAAAGGAATGCACTGCAGCAAGTTAAATATCTTAGCTATTGCATTTACAAAATATTGAGTACCATTACTATGATAATTATTCAGTGGAAATACACTGATAAATTGAGGAAAACACAACATTTCATAGGAAATTTAGCATTTTTTTTTTAGTATTTGACAGACTAAGTTGAAAAAATTACAGAGAATATACTTTTGTTTTGCAAACAGACTTATGATTATCAAACTCAATAATTATAAAAAATGGAATTATAGATTACATAAAACAAATAAAAACTGACTTTCTGCAATTTCAAAGTCCTCCTCCTGATCTTCTTTTTGGGATAATGTTACAAACAAGATAGCATGTGCCCATTTCCATACATACTAATGCTTCAATTTGTTCTTTCTTGCCTGTGACTTTTATTATTGATGTTTTTCTGTCTAATTCACTTCCTGCAATGTTAAATACAGTTATAAATGCTAACTAAATTCTTATAGCAYTAGATGCTATTGATGATAAAGTACTATATATAAATCTACACATATGTACATTTGTGTCTTCAAATATATATAACATAGCTATGTACATACACTCTCACATACAGTCAACTTCCCACATCCACAGGTTCCTCACCTCTTGAAATCAGACCATGGATCAAAACTACTTGGAAAATTGTGTTTGTACTAAATATGCACAGATTTTTCTATAGCTATTCCCTAAATAATATGATATGATAATTATGTATGTACCATTCACATCACATTAGCTATAAGTAATCTGAAGCTTAATTAAGTTATATAGGAGAATCTATGTAGGTTATGTGCAAATAATATGCAATTTTATATGAGGGATTTGTGTATTCCTTGATTTTGGAATCAACAGGAGTGGGGAAGCTGAACAAATTCCCCACAAATACTGAGAGATGAGTATACATATAAATGTTGTGTGTGTGTGTGTGTGTGTGTGTGTGTGTATGTGCAGATAGATGGTCAAAAAGTTAAAACTTATTGTTTACTTAGTTCTATGCTTATCAAAATATTAATCAGCAAAATAACACTCAAAAGCAATGTTGAAAATTCCATATTTTTAGAGAAGAAATTAAAGCATAGTCAAAAGATAATTTATTATAGGTTCCCACAGGATCATAGATATGACACCATGAAATGTCATAAAAAATATTAATGGGTATTATTATGTTAGTTAATTCTGCTTACTTTCTGCTAACAATACTGATCCAGGAACAGGAAACCTTTTAAGTTAAAATTTTAAAAATTCAGCATGTTGCAATATAATTTAGAAAAAAATTAACCCAAACATAATTATTGCAACGTTGTGTTGCAGAGAAGTTGAAGAAGCATTTGGCCATTTGTATTGCTTGTGAGGAAAAATAAAAGAATCTTAACTTGTAGCAGAACATGTACCAATAAAAAGTCAAGAAGTAAACTAGATGAATGCATTCTTTATTCATTTCTAAATGAATAAAACATCATTAACCTAGGTTCATAAATCCCAGATGGACCGTGGTGAGGGAAGTGATTCATGGGGTCCACAAACACTGTGTTTTCCTGATAAGCAGAYCCATTGTTGAAGGTTAGTTACTCAAAATTTTGGAGCCACCTCACTGATGGACAGGTGTCAGAGTGCTGTCATTGTGGGACTCAGGAGACAGAGGAGATACTGAATGTAGTCAACATTTAACAGATCTTAATGAGAATGCTTGTGTACCACAGATGCTGTGGTCTCCTGGGCGTGCCACTTTACTGAAAACATTGAGTCCATGAGGCAATTCTACATAGTCTTTAGACTGTTTCAAAATGCAGCAAACAATATGAACTGTGACCAAAACTGAGTGCCCAATGGAAGACATGGTGTTTCTTCCTTATTGTTTTTGACTATAGTTAATTAAAAATTAGCACAATAATCCCCTGGGAAGTGGTGTGAGGCAGTGATACCTGATCCTTGTGTTTAGCTCTCCAGTATAGAATGTATTCAGAACACTAAGTTAAAAATGTTTTGTTTTGTTTTTTTTCTTTCAAGGTAACTGAACTACACAACATCAAAAATATAACCAGGCTGCCTCGAGAGACAAAGAAGCATGCAGTGGCCATTATCTTTCATGACGAAACGTCAAAGACATTTGCCTGTGAGTCAGGTAAGCCATTACAGGTCCATCTACAGCTTGAGGACATTGAGCGGCTTCTGAGACAATGACCCAGGCAGATGAAGATGCGGTGTCTGGATTGGATGGCTCATTGTAATGAGAGGGCAGTGGAGGATGTTAGTCGCAAGTTCAACATACTGATTTCTCCAGATGTTTTGGGTACTTATTGTTATCTCTCTGTGCCTTCTCCCAGGTGGTCTGAGAACTCTGGCACAGTTTCCATTCAAGCTTTGAGAATTAAGTAAATAATGAAATTATTTAGGGCGATGTTGAGTGAGTGAGCATGTGATTAGTATCCAGGTTTTTGCAGAAAGTAGCTGCAGGTATTTTGTAGGGCAATAATAATGCCACTGTACAAAAGCCTGGCAAACTCAGCCTAACTCCCCAAACATTGCAGAACAGAATTTGGGCAGTGTGCTGCTTTCACCGGTTCTTGGTACCACAAATAAGTACATTTCAGATTGAATTTCGACATGCACTCTGACAGTGGTGAGATGCAGAACTTTTTRATTTGAACTTKCAATATTCTTCATGTCATGAATGAGTTGACAATGCTTTTCAAAGATTTTGCTCAAAGAAACAACGTGTTTGCTTTATAATGCATGTTCCCAAAAATATGAAGGGCTCGAAATATGTGAATTTAAAATGGTTATGTAGCCTTTAGGAGAAGATTCTTAATTTTTTAAAGGAAAAATGAAGTTTCTGGTTTATAGAAAGTTGATAGGTCGGTCTATTTACTGCTAAGTCATATTATTCTAAAGCTGCTGATGTCACTGTGCATGACTGAGTCTGCTCACACCCCTCATCTGAGCTGACCTTAGTCTTCCAGGCTGACCTGGAATGCGTCAAAGTGCCCTTCTTTCCTTGGATGCCTTTATTCATCAGTCCTTCTTCATTTGCCATCTGACCATATCTCATCCTTCAAAACAGACTTTTTRGAGGTACAGAGATGTCTGAGATTGGTACTATAAATCCCCGTCTTGTAACAGTACCTGTCTCAGCCTTATTGATATATTGTTATCCCAAAATATTTTTACCTTCTTGTTCACTGTCTTAAAACACTCTAGTCACTTCAATTTTCTCTGAGCTCTTAACTATATAATGTTAATGTCTCTTATTAAATTAATAACAGMCAGAAAATTAGTTTTCAAAAACACGATAAAAATGATTTTCATTAATTTAATTKTTATTTCTCACGATTGTTTGACTTTTTTTGAAATTGTAGTGAGCAATGTTCTGCATGTATAAGTGCAACTGGAGTCTGTTATTTTTGGAAAGAATGATATTTAATTATGTTTTTTAAGTAACAATCTTATTTAGATATTCTTTAGAGAGACACTGGCCTAATTTGTGTTTATTTAGTTACTTAAACATTCAATAGATTGYCTTTTATATTGTGATTTTTTACTGAGATTACAGTAGAAACATTATTTAATGCAATTTTACATTTACACAGATGGCTTTTCTGATTTAAACAGCTGTAATCCATTCTTTATTTAAATTCCTATCACTTTTTTTAAAAAACCAAGTTTGAGATTAACGTGGAAACTGCCCTCTTTCAATTTTTTATTTTCTATAAAGTTGGGGAGAATGTACACACACACACACACACACACACACACACACACCATCTCCTCCTGAATACATAACCCTGCTGCTCCATGGCATTTTTCCAGGTATCACCTGAATTTCCTCCCCTTTATGGGCCACAAGGTATCTACCAGTGCATCAAATAAAAACAGGCTCTTACTTCCACTCTGACACTTAAAGTAATTTCAGTGAAGACATATTATTTTCATCATCCCAAGAACCCAGACTAGAAACATTCACTTCCATAAGATATTGATGTTGGTAAATAAGAAGCYCCTGTGCACATAACTCAAGGTCAGCAGGACTCGGCCTCAACTTCAACATGTAGTGTTTGGAATTCTCAATGGTGACTGGAAGAATGTCATTGAACTCCACATCACAGAGCACCTGGGTCTCCAGAGAGTGGCATTGCAGCAGGTGGCACCAGCCCCTCCAGTCCTGGTGCTGCGGTCTGAGCATTGTATCTTTACATACAGCTCAGCGCAGACGAAACCCACTCCTCCCTTGGGTCAAGTTAGCAAGTGCATTTGAACAATTTATAGAAAGGCTATAAAGATCAAGAATTTTAAAATAAAATTTTTGATTATACATAGCATCCAGGTCTTGGTTTCTAATAACAGGAATYGGGGCATGAGTCCATGCTAATATAAGTAATTAACTGAAAAAGTAAATAATGGGAGCAGATAGACAAATGTCCCATAGGAAAATTCCAAATAATTCATGMGGAGGCCCTGCCCTCAGGAGGGATGCACGACTCCCCACTCTGTGACTGTGAGCTGCCCAGGTGGCTTCCTTCTAAAGGAAAGAGCATMGAAAGGGGTGGGTGGGAGAGAAGAGCTAGACCGTAGGGAAGCTGTCAGAGACCACCTCAGCCATGGTCAAGGTCCCCATCAGCACAGCACTTTACCTCATCACCTTCCTCCCAGCACCCCACAACTCAGTGTAACCGTGAGGAAAACATCACACAAATCCAAACTGAGGGGCATTCTACAAGGTGCCCGAACAGTACTCTTCAAAACCTTGAAGGTTGACAAAATCTGAAAGTCTGAGAAACTGTCACATCCAAGAGGAGCAAAAGGAGTCATGAGGAGAAAACGTAAGTGGCATCCTAAATGAGACCCAGAAACAGAAAAAAGCGCGCTGGGASAAAACCGAGGACACTCAGTGAGGAGTGAGGAGACCTTAATAAATTATCAATTAGGACCACTAACTAATAAGGATATATCAACATCATTTCATCAACGTCAGCAAATGCACATAGCGAAAGTAAGGTGTCAATAACATAATAAATGTAAGACTTAATAACAGAGAAAATRGGCATACAACATCCATATTATCTAAGCAGTAATGCTTTACAACTGATGCTATATCAAAATAAGAATTTTTTTTAAAAAAATTAATGTGGAACTGACATAAAATATATATCAATGAACTAGATTAAGTATAATGAAAGTGCAATGCATTTTAAAGGATTTAAGTTTACTAAARAAAATTGAATATTACAATCAATAGTAACTGAATCTTCACCTCATCAATTGCAAGTGAGCCAACGGCTCATCTGGAATGCCACTGATGAAGAAACTACAATTAGCATCATCACAAAAGAGTTCTTGAACCCCTTGGGACAAAGATGACTTTGTAACCTGCCTGTAATCTGGATCAGTCACCCCTGCCAGTGCCATAACTCCCTTCTGAGCCTGTTGACTCAGAGGTACGAGGAGCACAAAGTGGCGAGGGGGAGTCTTAACTTCCAGTTCAGTGAAATCTTTGTTGTACCCCCCAGAAGAAGCCTTCTTCTCTCTGGATCTAAGATGTCTAGGYCAGCAGAGCATAAGGTTACAGGAACAGGAAGAAAAAGCTTTCCTAGTGGGTCACTAGGGGTGGKAGGGAGTGGTGCCATCCCTGTCTCCACCCCTTGGTTCCTGGACCCATGAATTCTTGCAATGGGAGAGACCRTACCATATAGTGGATGCTGACGTAGAGGATAGACACTTCTGGAGAACCTTGTCCCAGGCCTCTCTGTATTGCCATCTAGCAGGCCCTGGAACTGCATCTTCCAAAAGTCCATTCCATTATKCCATCAAACCAGCTGCTTCAGGACRGTAGGGAACAGAGTCCTCACACTTATTTCCAATGAAGATGCAGAGAAGAGTGTGTTCTCATATGGCTAGATGGGGCATGAATTGTATTAATTATTTTTTCAGGGAAAATGGCAAATATATATATATATATATCATATGTATATTATATCTAATATATCATACTTATTATATTATATATTATATTGTTATATATATATTATATATTAGTATATATATTTATATATTTAATCTTTATATTTAGTATTTATATATATTTTAGTGTATACACACACACACACACACACACACACACTTTGGGACCATATCCCACACAAACAAACGTGCCAGCACACGTTTGTTTAAGTACACAATGTATAATGGAAAAATGGAAATAAGTACCTATAGAGTGAATAGTTGAACAAACAATGGAATATCCTTATCAAGAAATATGTGATCATTAGAAATAGTTTTACWTGCAAAGCAACTGTTTTAGTTAGCATTTTTGTCATCRTGACCAAAAGACTTGACAAGAACAATTTAGAGGTRRAAAASTTCATTTTGGMCCATGGTTTCAGAGGGTCAGTTCATGGTCTGARGATTCCACAGCTCTGGGCCCAACRTGAGGCAGAACACTGTGGCARAAGRGCRAGGTGGAAGAATCAGCTCAGGACATGGCAAGCAGGAAGTAAAAAGAGTGAGCTCCACCCAGCAAGGACAAAATGTACCCCCTATTACCCTGCTTCCTCCAGCCACAACCTACCTGCCTACAGTAGCCACCCAGTAATCCATATCAGTGGATTAATCCACTGATTAGTTTACACATCTCACAACCTAATCATTTCACTCCTGAAAATTATTGCAATGTCTCACACATGAGCTTTTGGGGAACACCTCATCTCCAAACCATAACAGCAACTATCAGAAAGTATATGTGAAATAATCACATATTGTAAAGAAAACAGAGAGAGAGAGAGAGATTTAGCAATTTTACCAGGGTGAGAGAACATGATGATGAGCTGTATGAAAAAGATTTTTGGGKAAAAATGCAAATAAAAGAGGAAAAGAAACAAAATAAAATAAACAACAAAAAAAGACCARGCATRTAATTTATTSTATTCATATGAAATCATTCATGTGTGAACAGGGGCATAAATGTGTCCAATTTTAAAACTTAAGTTAGTACCAATAAATACAAACTAAAACCTCCAGGAAGTTCATAGTAGTGCACCTATACCATAGGCAAATGTAAGAAGAAAAAACACAGCTGAACCATGGAATTCTTGAGGCACAGAGAAACCAGATTTGCTGTGCACTGCTGTG